GGAGTTTTTCATCTTTTGTTGTGCTAGGTGACCAACAACATAATAAGAAGAGTTACACCTGCTCTAGGCTTTTATGATTACTCATTTATCATTGAGGACATGAGAAATTAGTGTACAGCTTGTAATGTATCATGTAAATTAGTGCACAGCCTGTAATTAATCATGTCCTCCAGATTAACTTGCTTAATTTCTGTCAGTGTTCGTATTTTGGCAATTGTCTTTGATGAGTTTTTATCTATCCTCTGAAATGGGGTGAAATTGTGTGCAAACCACACCTATAACCTTCAATAATATCCTCGCCGGGTGAAAAATGGAGCGTACCCACTGTAATTTACGTATTTCCGCCTACCTGTGGAGCTGTTTCCGGCTGACAGCGAAGCTCCACCACTTAAACTCTTGCTCTGGAGCTGGCTCGTAAGGCGGAAACAGGATATGCCAAGTGAACGTTGGGCTGAGGTGTGTATATGTGAGTTTTAGGGCTGATTTTGAAAAAGTGAAGTTTAGCCTGGCAGAATAGAGCGGTGGAGACAAAGTACTTCAACTCCTGTCGCTGTGACAACAGTTGGACTTCTCCTGGTGAGTATACTTTTACTTGGGTTGTGGGGACTCTTACGCTGCTTCCTGGCAAGATAAGGTCGTGCTGTGGCTGTAAAAGCAGAAAACTCAGGTGTGCTAGGAGGAGGACATGGCTGTTGTTCGTTCAGGTGTTAAAGTTTGTGGAACTAAAGTTGGGTTCCTGCTAAGGCCGGACTTGGCTCCCTCCTAAGCGGTATCCTGGCTAAAGTTCCAGCAGCAACAAGTTTCACCTGCTTAATCTATCTCCGTCACACAGAAACGAGTAGTAAAACAACAGTTGATGTGTTCAGACTCATAATTAGCTAGAGATAGCGTCTTTTTGGGACAGAAGATAAAATCTACTTCTCGGTTGTGGGTTATCAGACTCATACTTGCTACAATTGTTTTGCTGAGTTTTAATCCATAAACGGCCATTTATCGCAGTGAAACTGAATTTTGAATTGCAGCGGAGAAACAAACACAATAGTAAAAGTTTGTCAACTTTGACCTGCAGAGGAAAGCGGAGCTTTAACCGGCTGAATAAGAGTTCCTACCATTGTTGCATAATGACGGAACCGTCTAAGCCCTGTAAGGTGTGTCTTGGCTCATCAGCAGGTGTGTTATTACCACGGCCATGTAGTTCCATACATGTTGGGGAGGAGCAGAGGACTAGAAAGCTTTATTGGGTCATCATTCCAGAGAACTCCAGTTAGGCTTCTCATAAAGGGTTGGTAGAGGATGAGAAGCTAAGTAGCTCTTACAGATCTTAACTCTTATTGTGCTTTTTATTTTAGTTTTATTCTATTTGCTATCTTATGGTTGTTGGTGGTCAATTGTTTTGTTTTTTGTTTTTGTTTTTTTAATGTGCTATGTAATGTTTCAATACTAAAGCAGTTTAGTATTGAGAATTTGTTCGACCTAGCTGCCTTACAGGTTTGTCCTTCCAGTTTCACCTGCTGCAGGCGAACAAAGAACCTTTGTTAGTAGACTGAGTGCTGTTTCAGCTTCATTGTAAGAGCCATCTGAAATTACCTTTCAGGTCAAAAATAATGACAACTACCAGAATGGTGGGCTTGTTTAAGAAATATGTCATGAATATAGGCTTTTTATTTAAACTTGAGACAGTGATGTTTATTTTTACATTGAAAAGGCAGGGGAAATGGTAAACCATCAAAAAGATTGGTTTTTCAAATAGAACAAATACCAGGTCAGTTTGGTAAACCAATAGATTTCTAATATATAAACAATCTATTGTTTGTATGTATATATATAGTTTCCAGTTATTTTGGAGTGGAAAAATCGGGTGCAGAGGTAAAAAAGGTTAAGAATCCGTGGTCTAGGGCAGGGGTCTTCAACTCCAGTCCTTGTTTTCAACACACCTAGATCATATAAGCACACTGGAGAAGTTGAGATTCATTCTCAGAACTGGTGTGGCCTTTAAGTTTTGCAAAATATGTTGAAGATGAAAACAACGATAAACGTGTTATAACAGCATCACAATATTAAAATCTCTTTGGCATACTAAGCTTAATGAAAACCAGGTTAAGTTTATGAAGAAAACTACATTAAGTTGCAACACACAAGGCCTCCATGCAATTATAACATGAAGTTGAATGATTGTTATAATAATAACAATAAATAGCATTTTGAAACAAACTTACCACCAGTTAGCAACACGTAAGCAGCCTTCATCCCTTTGGGCTCTTTTGGTGACCCACATTTTATCTCATTTATTTTTGCCATTTTAACAAAATAGTAAAATATTGTTAGGGCACCTAATAAGGCATACTTTGTTAGCACAAAGTATCATGTATATAAACACTGAAAGTATTTTACTGAAATAAACTTAGACACTATTTAATACATAACTTGCAAATATTATTGAAATGGATTTATTTTGAGATTTAGTGAGGCTTACTAAAATATACACAGAACCTATTTAAAAATATGATGGAATGTACAACTTCAGGAAAGTGTTTATATATAGAAGTGTGGCGGAAAATTACCTGGAGAGTGAAGCACGTCAAAATGCATCAACACAACAAATACCACTACATCGAGGCTCAATGCAGGAAAAAAAGGACATCCGGAGTGGCCAGATAGCAGGTAGAGCAGCACACAACTACTAACACTCACCTGGATTAGCATCACGGTCCGAAAGCTAAACAAATAACCCGAAAAATAATTCAAGTCTTCGATCTGGCTGTGTAAGATGCTGGTTCTGCTCTTGCTCTTGGACTGCCGCTATGTGGTACTGGTAGTAATATTTCACAGATGTAGCACCACTCAACCTCCACCAGACAGTGAACTCTCACACCAAACATCTGTTTAAAGTTGCAGTATGCAACTTAAAAAAAAAAAAAAGATTCTAGATATCTATTAAAATATGTTTATTATATCTAAATTTAGGGAATTTATTGCCAGATAATTTTTCCATTTTGCCAGGTAACATAGAATCATTTATACCTAAAGCGAAAAATTAACAGCCATTTCAGGCGTTCGGCAGTGATCGGTGCTCGGCAGAGATCAACCTCATGGTTGATGTGTATCAAATTTGTAATATATTTTTAAAACATACATTCAAATATATTTTTACAAATACATGCGAAGTGCATTTTTAAAAGGATTATCCAAATTATAATTTTAGTAATGTATTTAATTAGAATTTAAAATATATTTTAGAAAAAATATACTTTTAGAATGTGTACCAGAATAAATTTTTTTAAGAGTATTAGAAGCATGTTTTAAAAAATGTGTTTACATTTTTCATATAATCGTAAGTATATCCACTTAATAACATACTGAAAATGTACTTCAGAAAAATACAGGATATTTAAAATGTACTTAATGTAATACTTTTTCACCAGGGGGCAGCGGTCCAGGATGAAGAAAACTGCTCCACAGCAATGTTTCCCAACCTCAGTCTTCGAGTCACACTGCACTGTATGTTTCAGATGTTTCCCTGATTCAGATGATTGCACTTCAGTCAAAGCCTGTTAATCAGCCATCAACTGAAATCATATGTGCTGAATCAAGGAAATGCCTATTGTGTGCCCTGAGAATCAGGGTTGGGAAAACACTGCTCCTGAGACTAGCACCAATTTGTTGAAATGAGACAAAAATATTATTATTTTTTTTTTACTCTTCATAGTGTACCAAATAAAGCTAAATGTCTGAAAGAAAACAGAGGTCTGTTGGATTCAGACATCCAGGATAAGAGATGAAGCCTTGTTTGACACATCCTGGTTTTATCCATGTCACAAAGACCAGTGTAGTTCAGGTAAATGTGTATCCACACATTTCTTCAACAGGCCATGCTATCAATTCACTCATGCTGCTGTAGATAAATTAAGTAGGTCATACTTCACACCAAACGAGCAATATTTTGTTGGAGGATCATAACTAATTGAAGCACATCATACTAGAGAATAAAAAAACTGCTGCTACAATAGCAAAGTAGCTTATCAATTGAATGCATAATCAGCCCAAAATACACTTTTCAAACCATAATCATGTCTCATTTGCTCAAGTA